CCTCAGTGAGCGCTTCAGTTCCCGCCCTCTGCGCTCCCCCCGTGCCCCCAGTGAAGGCCTCTGCCACCAAGAGGAGGATGAGAGGCACTTCCTCAGGCTTTAACTTCCATCTTAAGCCACCAGAGACTAACGTGGAGCTTCATGAAGAGACAGGGAACATGCTCTGTCTCCAGGTGACCACAGGGGCTGGGGCGTACTTGGGAAGGCTGCACCAACAAACCACTCCTCCCCGGGTTCCCACCTGTGGGGTACACAGGAACGCCTCTTTACCTTGACAGAGCTGTTTTCAAACATATCCACAGACATTTCCTCCTCTTCCTCCTCCTCCTCCTCAGCCGTGGGCTCAACCACCACGCCCGGGAGCTTCTCCCCGCCGCAGAACTGCAGGAAGATGGGGGCCCTGCTGGAGTTGCGCTGGATCTCCACGCGCAGGATGCCGTCCCGCGGCCACTGCTCCCGCACGTGCTCCAGGCAGTTGATGGGCGAGCGGGAGAAGGCGATGTGGATGTAGGCCAGGATGAAGAGCACAAAGAGAGCCTGCACAGCAAGAAACAAACAGACACCATCACCCCACCAGCCCTGGCCTGCTGGCAGCTTCATCCGTCTCTCCTTCGCCCAGGATGACACCAAACTGACACTGGACAAATGGGTCTGCAAGTGGACCAGAGTTTTTACACCAAGGCACAGGAGGAGGTGGGAACGCAGCCCTGGCCTTTGGCCGTTCCCCCCTCTGCACACAGCATCTCCTGCAAGCCCAGAGACTGCCTGACTTTACAACGTAACGAAGCAAGCCACAACAAAGGACTCTCCCCACAAGAGCAGGGCCACCCAAAGCCACGGCAGAACCACCAGCTCTGTGCTGGGATCTGCCACCCGCCAGCACGGTGGAGGCTGAGCTGGGCTGGCAGAGCTTCCCCACACCTCACCATGGCTCACGCCAGGAACAGTCACAAAGCCACAATGAGACAAAGCAGGTTAAAATTCCTTCCCACCAGCAAACATAGCACAGGCTGCCCAGTGCTGCCCGAAGCTCCCAGCGAAGGCTGCAGGACACCAGCACAGCCAGCAGCACAGCCGAGCTCCCAGTGCTTGTGCCAAGGCCACACCACAGGGCTCATTCCTCTCTAAACGAGCTGCCCTCGCCACACGTCGCTCCTGACCCAGCTGCCATGAATAAACAGGCTGGTAAACACCTCGTCTGCAGAGGAGCTGCAGGGGAAGGTGCTCGGGGAGGCAAACCAGGGATGCCTCGCTCGTCACAGAACCCTGGGCAGCCCCAGGAGCTGGTGAGTGGCTGCACACAGGGCCACGGGCTGTGACTTCACCCCCCCGAGCTGAGGCCAGGCCGGGGCCTGGCTGGCTGCAGAGCCCTCAGGCAGGAGCAGGCTGCTCTCTGTGGGTGCTCACAGCACACCCCAAACTCCTCAGAGAGCTTTGGTCACGAGCAGGCAGCAGGGAGAGCCAGGACCAGCCTTGCCATTAGCACCATCCCCACTCCAGCCTCCCTGAACCCAGTCACACGAGGAACAGAGAGACGTTAAAACCTCGAAGGTTTCTCAGGAGGGGAGAGGATGTCCATGTGCAGCATGAGACAAACTGTCCTAACTGCCTTCCTGCTAAAGCAAGCTGCTGGACTTTAGTGACTCGGGGCAGAGCTGTGCTGCTCTCACCCAGCAAGCTCCTCTGCCCATCCTCTGACTCCAGTTCCACACTGGCACTGGTGAGGAGTGCCAGCGTGTGTCCAGGAAGCCACAGTGCAGGATTTAACCAAGGGGCAGATCCCCCCCCACACACCAACGGGCCACTCCGTGGTTCCCAGTCCCACACCCACAGGAAGGCAGGTGGGTCTCACCCTGAATCAGCGTGGGGCAATGCCATGCCAGCACAGCTCAGGCTGCTGGCTGCCCGGAAGAAATAAGGTTAAAATGGGGCTGTGCATTAACCACTTCTAGAAAAGACTCCAACAAGACACCAATGATCAAATATCTCTGTATGCAACATATCCAAAAAGAGTAACTGCTAGGAAATGGACACCAAAGCCTTTTGTGCCCCCATCCCTGGGCCTGACCTGCACCAGCCTGGCTACCTGGGGGGCTGGCTCAGCGATTTCCTTTTGGCTTCCAGATTTTGAGCCAGGGCTCTGGTCAGATCATCAGAACCACTCATGCATTTGTCACAGAAACGTGGCCCACAGGAGCCTGGTGCACAGCTCGGGCTGTGGGCTCCCGCAGAGCCCGGCGGTGTCTGTGGAAGGACATCTGTGCCTGGCACCAACCGCCAGCTGCCCCTCACCTTGAGGAGGACGAAGAACTCGAAGACGCGGCGGAAGGAGGGTGGGAAGAGGCGAGCGTAGGTCACTGCCATCTTGAAGAAGAGCGCGTGGAAGAGGCGATCGCGCACATTGATCAAGGGGTTCTGGTTGAGGTTGGGGTTGCGGACGCCCCGGTTGTTC